TGTCAGTTTTAATAGACATGTATTTCTTACTTGAGTCAAAAAGGATAAAAAAGCTGCTTAGCTACTAGGAGAAATCTAACAGGATGGAAAACATGGCTAATTCGAGTTTAAGGAATGAAATTATGTGACAACAGATGGAAGACAACAAGACAGACATGGAATAAGTAGAAACTGGTGCTCAAACATGGTTTTCTTCATGAAAACATTAGGAGAATACAAAAGACTTAGCCTAATGGTAACCTCATTTGCTTTTCGTTTTAGTGGAAAATGAGTTGCTACTCTGCATTAAACATGTAAAAGGAGTCTTATGTATGGGCTGGGCATCTCTTAAAAAACAAGGGTTCCCCCCACACAAGCAGAGGAGGGGAAAAAGAAGAAGGAAAAAGAGAATCTAAAGCAGACTCCACGCCCAGCACAAGCTCAACGTGGGGCTCCATCTCACAACCATGAGTTCATGACCTGAGGCAAAACCAAGTGTCACTTAATGTACTGAGCCAACCAGGCATGCCAAGAATTTTTTTTTTTTTTTTTTTAATATAAGGCTATACAGAGGGAGTTAAAACTGAAAAGATGAGCATTCCTATCTGAGGAAACAAGTTGAATTTAGAATTTATGGGCAGACTAGTCAAATTTACAGAAATAGCCAGCATAAAACCCTTGGTTAATAACATGTTTGGTGCACTATGGAAAATTGATACCTGTTTTCCAATCTCAAATTTCACTATAATTTCTTCTTGTTACGTTTTTAGCTTTGAATCTTTATATCTTCAATAATTTTTGTTAAATAACACACAGAAAACCACCTAACTGAGCCCTCATGATTTCAAATGTGACATTGTATTAGAAAGCTATCCTACTCCAGAGTCTAGAACCTAAATAGACTTGTAATTCTGCTGAAATCTAGTAAAAATTTCCAAATTCTACCATAAGGGGCAGCATTGCATATGGCAGATCTGGATTAAAATCTCTGGTCACTTACAGTGTCATTTTTGGGTGAATCATTTGGTCTCTCTGCAACTTCTACTTACTAGTCTATCATGGGAACTTGCAAACAGTATATGGGCTTAATAAATACCAATTCTTGACTACCACTACCCTTGACTTTTAACATGAAGATGGTCTGAAATTTCTAATGCACATTATTACATAGGTTCCCATATGAACAAATCTTTGGTGACTAGGGGGAAAAAAGATTGTCCTAAGGGTTTTAATAGTTTCAATATGTTTTTGAAGAAAAGACCAAGGCAAGGAAGGACCAAAAATGGATTTTCTTATAATATATTTGCATATATAGCATGTTCAGGAATGATGAATAAATAAGTATAGTTGGCCCCAGGGTATATTTAAGAAATTGCCAAAAAAAAAAAAAGAACTTGAAAGATATGTTGGATAAAACTATAGAAGGCAAATCCCATATTAACATTAAAAACGGGGATTTTAAAAAGATTCTTAGAGGGAGGGAGGCAAACCATGAGAGATTCTTGAATGCTGAGAACAAACTGAGGGCTGATGGGGGTGGTGGAGAGGAGAAGGGGAGTGATGGGCATGGAGGAGGGCACTTGTTGGGATTAGCACTAGGTTTTATATGGAAACCAACTTGACAATAAACTATTTAAGAAAAAAAAAGATTCTTATACCACTACTCTTCTTAAAAGTCACAGTTTAAGAAGACTTAAAAGAAACTGTGGGCAAGGGTAATGTCTGTAGAAGTGTTTTATGTTTATAATGATCAAAATTTAAAGCTGCTCCAAAATAAAAATACACTAAAACCTTGGTTTGGGAGCATAATTCATTCCAGAAACATGTTGTAATCAAAGCACTTGTATATCAAAGTGAGTTGTGATCATGTGACATTTGGCATCACATACTACTCGTATTGCAAGACATTGCTCGTTTATTGAGTTAAGTTAAAGTGTTTTCTAAATGTTTGCTCATCTTGCGGAACACTCGTAGAAGTTATTCACAATCCACAGTTTTACTGTATTTGAAATGAGAGCATTTCCTTATTTACTATATTAAAAAGATTTATATACATATGTGACTGACCTTTTCTTTTTAAGCAATGAATTAATAGGTGACATCTGTAAAATGTTGGTGAAAAAAATAAAGCACTCTGGGAATGATTCTAAAGAAGAGTTTCAAGAGAGAAAAAGGAAAATGGGCCAAATAAAGCCTGAAATACTACATTGTAGAAGGGCATCATTGCCTTGGCAGTGAAATAGTTTATATTCTTCTTGCCATGTCTGTAAAGTAAAATGACCTCAAAATAAACAACGTATCAAAAGTGTATACACAACATACATATACATATACACACACATAGATATTCACTCACATATACACATCTATCCCTGCTGTTGCTAGTGCTCACTCCACTCCTGTGGCCTTGTGTGGATGCACAATATCTTGCATTCATGACCCAGACACTAGAAAAATCTGCCTTAAAATTGTTACTTTTATTTTTAAAGGGGTAACTATATAACTATATAAGACAACACCTAAAAGTTCTGTTTACAGTTTCATCTTGAAGGGGGGTAAAAAAAAAGATAAAGCATCTGTCAAACCTGTGTACTAGTAGTTTTTCTTCAGAACAATCTAATGACTTTTCCTTTTGGAAAAATATGTTTTGTGTAGCTGGCTTTCTTGTTTTTAATTTAAAACATAGCAGAACTCACTGACAGCTTTGCATTGTTCAACAAGGCTTAGTTTTGATTAAACTTCTTTCTTAATCATGATAATGCAATGAAACACTAAACCCCAATCTTCCACTTGAATTCTCAGGAAAAAGAGAGACAGAACACCCTCCCCCCCTTATGTAGTAACCTTGCGGGACAGAGATCAAGAGATCTGGGGGACAGAAGCTGGGTGGACTCTATTATAAAAGGTCTTAACCTCACCAACAAAGCCGGCTATCGCTATTAAGGGCAGAGATTCAAAGCACTTCTTCAACACCTTGAGAAAGAGATGGCAGAATGGATATAAACCACTACTGAAGACAGCTCCTTCTCAGATCAAACCAACTAAATAAAATCTAAACTTGCAGACAGGCTAGGTAAATTTGGGATAAACATGTTTTATAAAGACTTTAAAGTTTCACAACCTTAAGCAAAAATGATAGGGCAATTCAAGCATTAAACCTAGTGTCTGATATATTTTATTCCAGGTCAAGTTACATTATCGAGATGATGTTACATCTGTTTGTATATTTTTTATGGGCTAAATCAATGATTCACTAAGAAATTAAAAAATAAGCAAATAAGAGTAAGAGGATAACTATGGACATTATTCATTTTAATGTCTATAAAGTAAGCTATTATTTGAATGAAATGTTCTATACCAAAAAACTGTTTACCTTATAAGTCTACTCTACATAGATATTCATGATTTTTATCTAATTTTCAAACGATAAATAAAGAACCAAACGGCATGCAAACATAAAGATTTATGAGCATAGAACCCTTGGGGGGAGGGGAGGGGAGGACAAAAGTTGTGCTATATACCTCATTCATTCTGACTATATTTTTTTTAACTTTCTCTCCTCTTTAAATAGACCATAGATAGCAACAGTGCCTAAAATCTTGATTAAATTCTAACTCTAGAGAAAAGTACCTGATGTCTTATTGAATCTCCTGAAATTTCAAAAGCACCAAAATACAGAGAAAATAAAATTCAATGAGGAGGAGAAGTCAGCACCTATTTGACTTAGGAGTTAGTTAACAACAAAGGTATGTAAAGAAAACTCCTATTTACAACTTTGATTATCATTTTCTAGGGTTAGTGTGTACATATGTTCACATTCTTTACAACTTAAAAATGTTTTGATTATAGACTATTTTAAACATACTTTAAAAATGACACAGAAGAATACCCATGAACCATGTCCACCCCAATCTCTGTTACCTGGCTTCAACAATCACAACTCATGTCCAATCTATACCCTCTCCTTTTCTCTCCTTCAGTATTATTTTGAAGCAAAACCCAGGCACTACATCATCTCATTTTGATTATATTCGATTAGGGCGTGGGGCAGGGGGAGAGTAGGATGGGAGAGACTACAACAGAATTGGGGAATGAGAGAAATAATGCTGCTTCTTTTCCTCTACAATCCCCACCCCTTGTCATAACCACAATTTTAAGGCGTATCCAGGAATATATTGAGGAAAGAAGCCCACATGCCATCCCAAAGAACAAGCATTGGCAATTCCAAATTTCCTGCAGCTGCCCAATCACTTCCTCCTTCCATCTCGAACAGACTTCAATGTTTCAGGACCTCCTTGCCTATCTAGTAGCAAAGATGATAGATAGTATGACTGACTATATACTTCAGTCCTTAATTTCTGGCATAGCCACAAAGGACTGTATCCAATGGAATTGTTTTTCTTAGCACTAGATTAATCAACAAGTCACAGAGTTGGTAAGATTTCTCTGGTTTAGACAGGAGTCTGTCTACCCTTTGAAACAAGACTATGGCTAACTCCATGGGGTACCACTAACTGGATGAGATGAGAAAGCACATGCAACAGAGCTGTCTTCTAGGAATGGGAAGGAAAACAAAAACTGCTAATAAAGCAAGTAGTGGCAAAAACTCGACAATAACTTGCGCCCTGGAGTAACGCCTGTGAATACACAGCCCACCCCAGCAGCTGCATTTTGTAAATAAAAAAAAGTTCTTTATGACTTGATTTACAAAAATCATGTTGCACTACAATACTCTCTGCTGCACACAAACCACTAACTCCCACTTTAGGGATAAAATTTATGGTAAAATTTGATATTAATGATTGTTCATAGTAATAAGATCAATTACCTTCCCTCTGTAATAAGACTGTCCCATATCGGTATTTCTGTTTCTAATACCTTATGGAAAACAAAAATTAGTTCATTTTATTATTACACATCTGACGATGAATTTTGTAATGACAAAGACTGTGAGGACAGTTTCATTACGATGAATATGGATAAGTAAACGTCTCAGGGAACAGCAGACCAGATATACTCACTTTTGTTGTCTTTGTATAGAATGGGGAGGAGAGTTGGTGAATAGGCAGGTCCACGATACTAGTGGAGTTTGTGACACTGTTACTATGTGTATGTTCATCTTCCCTGCTACTGTCATCAGACTGATCAAAATCATCACTCTCCTGGTCCATTTCCTCTTCCTCCTCATCCTCCTCATCTTGTTCACCAGCATGTTCTTCGTCTTCTTCTTGTTCTTCCTGATTTCCTGAGGAGTCCTCATCTACCGAAATGAATCGATTATTGTTTTCTTCCAACTGTCCTTGCTGGGAGTTGCTTTGGTCTCCAAGTCTAGGTTCTGCTCGGATGACATCACCATTCCTTGCAGTGTGCTCCTCCTCTTGTTGTCGGAGCTGCTGCTGCTGCTGCTGCTGCTGCTGCTCCTCCACCACGCGGTTCATCTGCTCCTCATCTGCCTGGCTTGAGGAAGGGTTACCTCTCAGAGAGCCTCCAGTTCGTCGTCTTTTGCTGCCCACAGAGAGCAGTTCCTGATTCATTTCCAAAAGCCAGCTTGCTACTTCTTGGACCTTGGCTAGACTATCAGAAGATGCAAAGGATTTCACATTCTGTAGGGAAAGATGGGGGTGGGGGGAGAAAAAGGTTTGTATAGACTATATCATCTTCCGCTTTTATGTTCTAGGTCTATATTCCAAATTTCATTAAAGATTATAAAGTATTTGACGCTATTGAGACATTAAGATGTTCTTTAGAAATCAATAAAGTTTAAAATGTAGAAATTTATGACACTTTATTAAGACAAACATAAAAATCACATAGTAAACAGCTTAAATCTTTAAAAAACCAATTTTAGAATGAAGCTTTATAATTTAGTTGCTTTGACCAACAAAACATAATTTAACCAATAAAATGATTTTCAATTTTAGTTCAGCTCATAAATGATATCTTTTGTAAAGCTTCCAGAAAATGTTATGAAGTATATCATAAAAAAATTACTCAAAGCTCAGTTAAGTTCAGGAAAAGCTGAGGTAAACCAAGATAAAAAGGCCTTCTTACTTTAGGAATTCCCCAAACTTCTCTGATCAATGAACCTTGCCTTAAGACACAGTTTTCTGATGATACGAAGTATAATTCATTATGATTTTCATTTTTCACAATGAGTATAAACTGAATGGACAGCAAATAAAAAAAAAGTTTTATTTTTATTTTTTTAAAAAAGGAAAAAAGTTTGTAAGTTCATACCCTCTGACCCAGTAACTCCACTTCTGGCAATCTATCCTAAGGAAGTAATCCTAAAACAGAAAAAAAAATTATGCAAAGGAGGCTCACTGCAGCTTTATCCACAAAAGCAAAAAATAAAAATAAATGTAAGTAAAAATAATCAAAACCCAAATGTTCAAGAAAAGAAATCCATGAGATGGGATATATAGTGCAATCCCTAAACACAATGTTCATTTTTTAAAAATTTGTGAGGACATGGATGTTTATATTAATGCTAAGGGAAATTATATGATCACAACATGATTTTTAAACTTCATAAAGACAGTATTTCAAAATAAAAACTGCTTTTGGGTGGTGGTATTATAAGCATCTAAAATTTATTTTTTAACTGCATTTCTCAAATGTTAAATATCAGACACATTTGCTTTTGTTTTATAGATGCTGAAATTTGATCTGATATATAATCTTTTCATAATGGTCATTCTTAAATTTCACCCTTTGCAGATATCTATATGGACATGTTTGAAGTTATATAAAATAATGCCAATACACTGCCCAAGTTCACATAAAACTCCTTTTAAAAATATCTTTGTAGGCTTATAGATAAAAGAAATACAACATCCATCTTCTATCATGCCTAAGAATAACTACATAATATAACAATGGTCTTTATTAAAACAGCCTTATCGGGGCGCCTGGGTGGCTTAGTGGGTTAAGCGTCCGACTTTCGCTTAGGTCATGATCTCGCGGTTCGTGGGTTCGAGCCCCGCGTCGGGCTCTGTGCTAACTGCCAGCTCAGAGCCTGGAGCCTGATTCAGTCTGTGACTCCCTCTCTCTCTGACCCTCCCCTGCTCACGCTGTCTCTCTCTCTCTCTCTCTCTCTCCTAGAAATAAATAAAACGTTAAAAAAAAAAATTAAAACAGTCTTATCTATTTTTCCAACCCTTGCCACTAGATGGTGATCCTCCAAAGTGCATCAGTTCTCTCTGCAAGTTTTGAAATGAGGTCTGAAAATCTGAAAGATGGTTTTAAAATACCAATATTTCATTTTATTTTCTATAATCTACACTTTCTAGAAATAAGCTGTAGTGTGGGGGGAAAATTCTTTAATTCTAATTACAACTAGAAGTGTAAGTATAGAAAGAGAAGAGTTCCAACGGTTGAGCTATGAGGCACTCCAACATTCAAAGAGAAGAGTAACCAACAAAGGTAACTAATAAGGAGGACTGGGAATGGGTGGTATCTTCAAAGCATTCAAGTAAAGAAAGCATACCCAGAGGACAAAGTTTAAACCTCAACTGGTGACAACAGATCAAGTAGGATGAACAGAAAGAACGGACCCCCGGATTCAGTAACATGGAAGTCACTAGTAATAGGAGTTTCGTTAGTAGAAATCTGATTAAACTGATGTTCTTCTTAAGTAATTAAAAGGGGATGATGAGAAAGAATTCAAAACTGGAAGACTAATTTTAGTTAAAAAAATGGAAACTTCATGTATGGTAAAAGACAGAAAAGAAGTGTGGCATTACAGTACTTTAAATTTATTTCTGTTTACCATATTTTTCAATGTGGAAATAGCTGGAAATAGTGGTTTTTTATAGAGGTAGGAGCCTTTGGAAATTTCCTACTCATTTCTTCTACTGTTTTCCTTTTTCCTTCTAAAGTAGGAAGCAATGTCGTTACTGTCATCATCATCATCAGAGTGATCTTGGGAGAATAGTGTTAGAAATTTGAAGAAAGAGGTATAAAATAGTCCTCTAGGGAGAGAAGAAGGAAACTTTCCTAGGTGCATGAGATTTTGAAGATCAAATATAATCAATAAACCATGATGTAATACATATTAAATACAGCTTTAAAAAGTCAAGTGGTTCTTATTTACAACTCAGATAAGCACAATAGCCAAATTTCTATTTGAGGTAGAAAGCAGGTCTTTGGAAAAGCAGATTAAACATATCTGTTGTTTTCTACCAAAAAAATTTTTAAATAAAAAACTACAGAAAATAAAGGTCATCAAAATCTTATTGGCTAGTATATTTAGAAGACAAACTATGAAAACACTAGAGAAAGGAAGATTAAAAATAACACGCTGAAAAACACTGACCTACACAAATGAATAAATATAGTATCCCAATGTACATAAAGGTAAATCTACTATTCATAGGTTTCCTTCAAACAATCAAAATCTTGCTTTAGTAACTGTATCTAAAGTCAACTCTCCTAACATTAACAAAACATTTTTCAGTTGGATGTTTAGGCACAGAAGAGCATGATACCAGGGTCAATGCCTTGGGATAAGGCAGAACCTAACCAACTGCCCTTCGTGTGTCCAACCTAACAGGCATATTTTTAAGAGATTGAAACAGGTTAAATGCCATATTAAAAGCAACTCATAAAGTTCAAAGGTGAAAGAACAAAGGTCATAAAACTAATCATAAAGAATATGCGAAAAGTAGGGAGGAGACTACTGGTCAGCAGTCAGCCTATCAACAAATAGAAAGTTTATGACTGGCATTTCTAAAAAAGTACTAGTATTGGTCATTGGTGAACACTTCTGTTACCAATTATGAATAATAAAAATTCAAATCACTACTATTCTGTAACTTTAGTGTTATATTGGGAGGAACAGAGAACAAAGTGTCTTACTTTAAGCCAATAAAGTTAATTGACTGGTATTTACAACCACAGCATAGAGATAGCTTTCAAAATAATACAGATTCTTACAAATAGACCTGGTCAAAAATGGTAAATCCAAGTAAAAGAATCAGATTTAAAGCACAGCCAATATAAAATATACAATGACACAGCTAAAAGTCAGATGAGAGGAATCCCAGAATATTTGAAGAGGCTAAAAATATCTAACTGACAGGCTTATATAAAAATTTGTCCAAGTAATATATATATTAGACTGGATTACTCTGACCCAGTTTGAAAAGGGAAAATGGGAATGAAAATTTCATTTTCTATTGGTATTCATAAACAAAAAAACTTTTTAAAATCTACTATTTACAGGAAATTAGTTCATTCTAATAATAATCTATTAAATAAGCTAATGAACTAATTAAAATCATAAACATTCATCCAATAAGTAATAGGAAATCAGAATCAACTAAATACGTATGATGGGGGATCTTTTTAAAAACAGTTTATAAAGCCCAACATTAAAAAAAAAAAAAAAAAAGGTGATCTGAAACTTAAAAACTGCCATACAGGAAGAGCTAATAAAATATTAACAAAAAATGCACACTTTCACTTTTAAAATTCTAATTCTGTAATTAGAACCTGTAAGAAACACTAACATCAACAAACAGGATCCTGTATCCTAAAAAAAAAAATCAGTGTAAAATCCAGAAATGCTTTTATTTCTTTTTACCAGTAGAAGTATATAATGTCAAGATATATCAAATACATAACATGTTTTTATCTATAACTAGTGAGACCAAACTTGGAAGTCAGGAAAAGAAAATCTGATGGCTAATATATTTTGATATTAAATTACCCAATTTCCTTGACAATTGGGCATGAGAAGAGTTGAAATGATTCAAAGTCAAGAAAACCATAGAAATTTTAAATTGAAAATGTTCTTCACTTCACAGACAAAGCAATTGAAGCTTGAAGGGATTTAAGTAAATTTCTCAAGATTGCTAGCTTCCAGCTAGCTTCAAGCAAAGTAGGGACCAGAAATAGACATCAACTGTGTTTTCTTTCACATGCCTCAGTCTACATTAACTACATATGGCAAAATCCTAAGAATATTATTCTCTAACACTGATACCCAGACTTCCAAAACCAGAATCACTCCAATGCCCAAAGATTATTATTCTAAAACAAATACTTACTGAACACTCGATATGCTTCTGGCACATTTTAATTTTCTAGAGAATAATGTTTAGAAATGTTTCTTTACAAGTTAATCACTGACTTTTAACCCAACCAGAACCCATGAAAAAAAATCAGATTTTATATTATAAATAATTCTGTATGTGTGTATGTATTTAAACAAACCTAAAACAATGGCTTAGAGAGAGGGAATCATGAAATATTTCAGATACCTAAAATCTCTATAAATCACCACCCTTAATTAAACACAGTCCATTGTCATTATTGACAGTAATTGTGTTCTATATCGCTACCGCAAATATTGAGCCACTGCTCCTAGGGGAAACACAGTGTTAAGTTCCTGCAAGCCTTGGTCACAACATTTTGGCCAACTGATCAATATATAACCTTTTCATATGTATACTTCTAAATAAAGACATGAACTGAACACATATTGTTGATTCATTAACCTTGAACTCACAGTCAACAGCACTATAAATTCACTCCTGAACAAAGTTTAGCTTATGCTCTCCATAAGGCACATCATGACATTAGACAGAACCTCACCACT